CAAATATGATTAAATTTTTATTAGTATAATTCTATAAATTTATAGAATTAAAATAAAAAAAATTATCAAATTTGATCAGATAGTTCTTTACTCAAAGTTTTAAAGAATTTGATATAGCTTTAATTTTGATATTTTCATTTTTCCCCAACTTTGAGCAAATATTTTTTGACAACTATCTAACAAAATTTGATAAAATTTTTTTTATTTGAATTTTATGGATTTATAGAATTTGAATAAAAAAATTTTATCAAATTTAGTCAAGTTATTATCAAGATATCTTGCTTAAAGGTAGAGAAAAATTTGGCGAGGTTGTAATTTAATAGACATTTTGGTTTTTCTCTAACTTTGAGCAAAAATATCTTGAAAACTACTAGTGAAAAGTTTTTATTTGAATTCTATGAATTCGTAGAATTTAAATAAATTTTTTTTTTAAATTTGGTCAAATAATTGTTAAAATATTTTTGCTCAAAATTTTCTATTTAACAGATACCATGATTAATTAAATAATATCTCAATTTTTCAGGATAGATTTTTTACTTAAGGGTTTCTCCCTCGACACAAATCATAAAATTAACTCAATAAGATCACATAATAACAGATATAATATATTTTTTAGAATCATTCACTTTTATTTGTTTGACAAAGAAATCTAATAAATCATGCGTAGAATTCTGACAATGCGATGCAGCTATCTTATCATGTAAAATATTTCACCTAATGATTTTTTTTTATATACAGAAAAATAATAAATTAATCAGTAAAAAATATTGATACTTAGTAAATATATTCAATTAATAAACATTATATTTATTCACTAAATTAACACAAATGAGAAAGGCAGGGCGATCATTATTGCAAGAACAGATGACTTTATGAGATCGCATATGCATTTTGTTATTCTATGGGCTGTTTGTAATCAATTTTGAGATTTCTTGTTAAATGTAGATAAATTCCAGCTATTATTGTGATTGTTTTGATTTGGTAAAGTGCTGTGAGTTTGAGGATCGAATGATGAGAAGTAAGGTTATCCAGTATGATATTAGTAAGGTGAAAAGGGGGAGGTTGCTGATTATCTGAAGGTACGTATTTAATGATTGTCGGGCTGTATAGGACATTTATCTTTTTTTTTCGTTATCGTTCGCCTTGTAATTGAAGCCGGCTCTGCGTCCCTCACTTCCATCCATCGTGCAGTGACTTGATAGCCGCAGAGGGTGCAATGGCTTTAGTTGATGAGTTAATGGGCACTGACGAGTAGTGATAGATGTCACGATTGTAGTAGCAGTGCAAAGACCTGTTTTCGTGATAAGTAAGCTTTGCAACTACAGTAGCAGTGCAAGAATGGTTCTACCACGAAATCCCGAAAAACGGATTCCCGAAATTAATTGTATTGCGTGATGTAGATTAATAGAACTTTGAATATGCATCACACAACACAACAGTTAATTTTCGGCAATGTTTCTCGGGATTTCATGGTAGAACCGATATACGGTAATTGGTGCCCATATGCTGCTGGACCCAGATATACGTATATCATGATCTTTATGTGCATAGATTTAACGATTCTTTTCGCTATTACGACTAATATACCAATTATAACATTTCTGACAACTAATCATATAATAAATAAGTTAAAATATATCATATTTAAATTACAAATTTAAATAGTAACTATAGCAAACTTTGCAATGCCAGAAATATCAAATATTGACACTGTAATATTAATTATTAAACAAAGGAAACGACCAACTTGCCAATTTGCTCTCGCTTTTCCATTTTAATAAATTGATCCATAATTTGATCGAACGGCACAATAGAATCAACTAAGGGAACAATTTTGTAATTAACAATAAAATTTATCATAGATTTAAATTCGGTAAAACTGTCAAGATCAGAACCCAGAATAGTAAGGCTTTTCGAATAAATTGAACTCCATTTTTGTAATAGTTCGACTGTGGGTGGTCCAAGTGTCTGTTTATAATGTAGACGACAAGTATAAATTAATTATATCGATTGCGACCTATTTATTAACTGGATAATACACAACATTGTGTATGTCTGTTATCACATTGATTGTGACTGGTTATGTATCAAATGGTGCGGCACTTTATATATAAATATAGAGTTCATTTCTCTCTGGACAAACAAATGGCACTTTACCTGACCAAAAAAAAACGTATCGACCAGAGGGCCTTAGTAAATCCATATAAGTAGAGACAAATTTTCCGCCAGATGAATCAACAATCAAATCAAACAATCCATCATGTACCTCAGGTACGATTTGTTTCAACTTATCGGACCAATTTAATTCAGTATAAAGTACACCTTTGATGTTAAATTTGTTTTCTAAAAAGTCAAGCTTAGATTTCTGACCAGTCGTGAAAAATACTTTGGCACCAAATGCCTTGGCAAATTGGATCAGGAATAGACCACAACCCCCGCCACTGCCTGTGATTAGGACAGTTTCACCAGCTTTAAGTCCACCGCGAACTATGAGTGCTCGATATGAAGTCTTTATAA